CTTACCTAAGAAAAAAAGAAGGATACATATATACTGTTTTCATACTGAAGACAACAGGCAGTTGTTCATAGAAACATAGTTTACAGTACAACAAACTTTTCTTCAGTAAAATCATGCACTGACAGTCTTTCTGGAAACAATCAAGTATGTTTATTTTCGTTGGTTAATAAGGGACAAAGTGTTCACTAAATAACTACGTAATAAGTTTAGTATCTTCGTATACCTGTTTGTCGCTAATAAATACGTTTCCTCTATCTGATGTAATACTTTTGAGTTTATTTTTAAGGAGTTTGATAAGTGCAGAGGAGTCATTATTGAGTTCCTGCTTGAATTTTTTATGTACATATTGCCTTTGCATGGACAAAGATTTTTCAGTGTAACTAAGGAGGAAAAGTCATAAAAATTGTGGAATGGAGTACAATGCCCTTGGCCCCCAAATGCACTTGTACGTCCTTCTTACGGCGGGGGCGTTGTTTACGAAATTTAGTGGACGAAAAGCAAATATCCGACCGGTGGATCCGGAAGATCCACCTATAGATTTGGAAAACCCTGATTCCAAACCAACGGTGCACATGGACTCCAGGACCCTGAGAGAAAAAATGGCCCATGAACTTATTATTGGTCACCTGATACCATGGGACCGTATCTCTTCATGCTGCTCCACTGCCTTGTGGATTAGACATTTAAGTCAAAGGCTCGAAGTGTGGAGTTTTCAAAAAACCATCTGGTCCGGCTCAAGGACCCGCACAGTATCCAGACACAAATGAAGTTATTTCTGTGGCGCTTATCTGTTCGATGTCCGTTTATGACAATATTTATGTATTCAAAAAGAGTAATAAATAAGTAAACTTGCGTCGGTGTGAACATGAGGTGGATTTGATGCACATAAGTGAAAGTAGTTATGACCGTTGATGGAGTTTTTTTCTCTGACCTGGATGGTTTGGTCGTAGAGCTTTCATTGTTCTTCTGAACGACATCATCAATACAAACTTAAGATAGAAGTGAAGCACTCGAAATTCTCCATATGTGTTTCGAAACTTGTCCTGTACACCTCGATAATGATTGGTTCTTGTTGACGCAAAATTTGTAGTTGTTTACTTCTTTGTCTCGGTTGTCTTCCATTGGTTTGATTTCCGTTCCAATGTTTGTGCATAAACTTCCTGGTTTGTTGATAAATTTGATCAATTTCAATGTGCTTGTTGATTGCTGATTGACCTGAGTGTGAGACTGACTATTATTATACAGGGAGCCATTTTTATGTGGTGGGTTGGTACTGAAGGACGTGGAAAGTTTCCTTTCCAATTGGGATCCTGGGCAATGAAGACAAGGTATGTTCTGCGAAACCTATTTTTACCATACCTTTTAGTGATTTTAGAGTTTGAGGAGTGAGTGGAGTGATCAGTACTCTGATAGTTTTGTTAGTCTATGCGTAAAAAGCGTTGTTGCGCTCTAGTCTACCATCAGTTTCGCTACTTAGAAGTGTTGACGGCAGTTTATATGGTATCAATGAGGAGAACCTGTTCACTGTAGTTGCAATACCCACAGAACGATTGAGTTGAATCTTAGGTACTTCCATAGTTGGTATCGTGGATGTTGTTTCCCCACCCCTTTTCCAGGGCTAGAGAGTTTCTTGATCTCTGTGAAATGAATTCAGGTTCATTAGAGTCATCTTGTGTACTACCTTTGGGAGAAAAAGTTTTCAGGTTAAGAGGTTTAGTGGGTGTGTGCAGTCGAAAGCCTCAAATTTAAGTGCTTTACTACGCGAACATCCGGGATCGGAAATGCTTTACTTTTTTTAGTGGCAGTTGGAATCCGTATCTTATTCAACGGTTTCTGATCTGAGGATTTACCTGGATCTACAAACTGACCTGCCGTATATGAAGTGACATCATGCTTATTGTTCATGAGCTCTAAACCATTTACTGTGTTGCAGACTGTTTGCAGTTGGTTATTCGTTGTAACACTATCATGCAATTCTATCGCTTCACGTATCGCCATACGACGTTGACAGAGAATTAGGTCTGGAGTGACTTTTATGCTCTTGTATGTAATATATGAGCTAATAGTTTTGCTCGAATCAATGAAAGGTTTAGCGTCGTTACTGGTTCTTAAGCTTTGGATCTTCAAAAGATACCCATCCTTCATGGGTGACTGAATTTCCTTATTCCTATATTCATCCCTACCTAGACAGCGCACATTTGACATGAAGGTTTATATGGTTAGGAATCACTGTTATTCCGTTGTCTCCAAGCCCCCTTCTTTTAAAATAAGCTGGACAATGACACGATTACAAAACGATGTTTTTAAAATGGAAGTCATTAAGCCTGAAGTTTTTATAACTCCACAAATATCTTGACCTTCGTACGATAATGGAGCACCAGCATAAACTGTAAATGTCCCCTTGAACCCCAACCCTTACTAAGTAACTGGAGCCAGTAGTTTGAGTTCTAATAGCGAAAATAAACGACATAATGAAATGGTGAGTTAAGATAGGTAAAAGTGGATGCGGAATGTTGTGACGAACATTAGAATTTAAAACAATTTGTAGTTACATTGATCCTAAACACACAATCTTCAAAGCCAAACATGAACTCAATGTGAAAATTCGAATTCGACAATTAACACGGAGAGGGCAACAATGGAGAAGGTGGGAACAATGGGTTCATTCAATAGGATGACATGGCCCAGCCTTTCAGGAGTGGCCATTCTTATGTAACTTATGTTTTCTTTTCATAATAAACATATTGCTCTAATCCAGAGAAAATATAATAATATATTTCTGCAAGGGCAGGTACACGCTATTTTTAAAGCCATAAGATACCTGTTTATTTACACAAGGCCCATACAGGTAAAAAAGGCGATGAAGCTCACGCGTTTCAAAACTAAAAACATAATTTACTTATATATGAACACAGCGAGTTTACCCAGTAAAATGGATGACCGCTTGAACTCAGTAATTATAATCATACTCATCTGATAGGAATACCTGAAACAAGTGTATCTTCTCAATTTACGGAACAGGAGCTGGTAATACTCGGGATGACTTTGTTTCACAACGACAGGAAAACTGGAATGGGGGGCCGAGTGGCCTTGTACCTATGATTTTACTGGGAGGTACATCAAGTACACAAACAAGCGTCTTGATGGATCCGTATGGTGATCTATAAGATTGTCTACCACCCCGAGTTGTCTAATTGTAATCATCCAGAGAAAGCCCACTGCTGACATTTGGCACGACAATGGTATACCGGACGGATTTTCCAGCCCCACTCGTCTCTGGTGCACGCATATCCTGATTCTAAGAGACTTCAATCTCCATAAAGTCAGTTTCGCGGAACATACGTATATTGGAGGTGAAAACTCTACTGAATGTCGGTGCTTCAACCCCACTGAAGAATTAGGATAACTTTAAGATGTCAAGTTAGCAACCTGTTGGAGAAGCACTCAGACGCCATAGCTCTTAGACAACATGTTTACAAACGGAAAATTCCCAATTCTCAACCTCTAAATCCTGGCTCTTCTGGTGAAAAGTGATCACATCGAAATATCCTTCAGTTATATCAGCAAAACTGAGCTAGGATATCTTACCTAAAACAGGCACTGGATGTGTCAGTTGCATGTGACAGCTCTACAGGACAATCTGCAGCAGGTGGACTGGTAAGCTCACCATCAGCTTGGTGTGAATGCCCAGTGGGATCTTATTTGCCACAAAGTAGTCTGTTCTTCAAACCGTCCCCGAAATCTACAAGCAACATACAGTTATCAACTATCGCGCTCTTCGTTTGCTAAGCCGCGAAAGGCACTACAGGGCGGAACGCAGATGAACTGGTAGCAACAGCGCATAAAGGCAGTTAAAATATGTAAGGAACACATGCAAAACTGTAGGCTTCATTACCAGATAAATCTTATCGATAAATTTATCTTCAATCCGAAAAGCTTATTTCGTCATGCAGCCTCGCTTCGACGAACCAGAACCGGAGTTTCTCAATTACTACCAACAACGAACGTGATGTAGTCTATCTTCTGGCAAAATAGTACACTCGGACACTTCGCCTGACCCACACAACTATATTGATGAAAGCTTCACCTGCAACTCCACAGGACTTTCAGAAGTGAAAATGAGCTTTGACTTGGTGTACTACAAAATGCAGCACTTGAAAAGATACTACTCCTGACCGGGTAATCGTCCATTCTGTTGTACTGAGGGAAGTAGATTCAATCTTAGCAAAACTGTTTGGAGTGATGTTCTCAAATTCGCTAAGCCAAGGCACATTATTAGACAATCGGGAGCAGGCTCACATCACACCGATTTTCAAAAGAGTTCGACGCAAAAACATCCAAGCTACCGACAGGTAGCACTTCCCTCTATGCATTCAAAAATTATGGTGTTCTGGTAGGAGACTGTCTACACGACATGATGAGTCATATAATGAAAGATGAATAATCTTTCGAAGTGTACGGTGGTCCGAAGTCAATATACAATCAACGCCTAGTCTAGATTTAGCAGAAGACTAAGGCACAAAAAACACGATGTATTTAGCACGCAGCATTCACATCAAAAGTTATCTAAGCAACCTAAAAATATGAATTGCAGAGTCGATGAATTTAAACAATATATTAAGAAAAACGGTGTATTTACTAACACAATATCACGGAAACCAGTAAAGATAAATTTTTATCAAGTTCTTACAAACAATTACAGCTTTTGGTTTTCATAACCTTAAATTCGAAACTGGTATCCTAGATACGTTACTGCTGTCTAATTAAAGCTGGGCTGTTCAATGACTTCTGAAGACTATGTAATGACAAAGTTCGAAGACTATTATTGTTTGGTCGAAGGTTTGGGAAGGTATAAGCTAATCTAAATTAACGCTTAAACATTTATAGAAAACCTATTCAGCCACAGTATGCTGTTTAGTCTTAGATAATTTGCTTTTCTTCACTCTTTTTAAAATAATGAAACTTTCTACAGATTTAATGGTTCTTTTGTTGCGTTAGGCATGGAACGCAGGACGAAAATGTTTTATGCTGTTAAAGTGATACAAAAGAAGGTTACAAAACTCGACTGTCTTAACATTAAACAGTTGACTTCTCCTGAGAGAAAAAAAATAGGCCATTTGTTGAAGCTTGATCATCAAAATGTGGTAGGTGCCATTAATGAATTTTAAGTAAGGTTTTAGGCGAAGTTGAAAGAAGTATTTGAAACATCTTTCTCATTGCATATAGTCGTTGAATTTGCAAATGGTGAAGAACTCTTCCGGAGGTATTTTATTTTTCAAGGAGCTCTGTTAAATCTCGATATTTCTCTTTTGTGGAGCTCCTAATTGGATTACAAATGAATTTATTACAAATATCTGCCCGTTATCATTTATCTCATATACCTCATATAACGAGTTTCAGAATATGATCATTAAAACTCTAAACTATCGTCAGAAAAAGAAACATCAGCATTGGCGCAATTATATTTATATTGCTTTAAACTTGTGACTGAATTAGCAGAATATGTTGCATGGCTTCCTTAGCCTGGATAAAACAGTATTTTTGGTAGATATTGTAGCTAATGATATCAACCTGTCACAAAACACTTTTCACCATGGTGATTTATATATTTGTGGATTTTGAGTCGTTATGCTACAGAGCTAATCTGGTCCATAGTAGTCATCTGTAATACCTGTCCGCCAAAAGGGTTGCAGATTAAGTTTCCATATTAGATATATGTATTGGATCGGAAGACCGACAGTCGGTTTCAGTCGTTTTCTAATGAACTTCCGTGGTTATTTAGCCCTTTCTTAAGCATATCAATTGAAGGTGAGAGCACTGCTTCTTTGGGTGGAACATTTCAAGAGTTGACGACTTGGTCTAAAAACCCTTATGAAACTGGTATTTTACTGGTCCTTGGTTTTAGACGCTCCTGCAATATCCCATCAATTATTCTGGTTTAGAAGAAAAAAAACTAAGAAGTATGTTAGGTTCGAAATCATTTACTAGCGTTCTGTACATCTAAACCAGATAACCACATTGTCCATAGTGGGACAGGCTAAAGAGGTCGACTGTCCGATTTTCAAATTAATTCAACCTGGTTAGTAACTGTGTGCAACACTATTCGTCTCATCGTAGGGCTCTATTGATATTCATTATTTTTATTTCGATACTTTGTTTTAAGAGAAAGTTACTGTGGCTTTTTAGATATATTTAAGATGCAACTAGTTAAATTTTGACAAAAAGTGTAATTTAAACGTGTGATTTTGAAGTATACAATATATCTATTAGATCACAAAAAAGGTGGAACAATTTTTCATTTAAGTTCTTTATCCTTAGTCCTCATAATTTGTTTATATGCATGAGGGAAGACCAGCAGCTGACTACCGAAATTGCAAAAACGTTGCGGTTAAAACATTTTCAGGTACTCTTTGCAGAAATTCTGAATACTTTGGCGTATGACGTCGCTCAATACGCTCGAGAGCTCACAACTATGTCAATCGTGTTGTCTAGTAACATCCAGATGACGTTATTCAGTTGCATGGTAACAGTAATTTGTGTTTTACAGGAAAAGACAATGAAATCGATAAGTCGGCACTACTTTTTTTATCTTTTCATCGGCTGAAGACAGCTTAGAACTAAGAACGACTGCGAAAAAGTAGGTGGATGATAGTGAAAGAGTTAATCTATGGCAAACTTCAAAATAAATAGTATACCAGTAAGTTTATTAAATATAGGCAACAATGTGCATGATATGAAAGACGTAAAATAATTAACAACCCAAAATGTTCAGAATAGTTTGTCACTACTGTCGAAAACAGCTCGTTTACGACCAAGCCTAATAAAGACAGTTACGAACTCTACATACGGGTTTGTAGTTTTTCATTATCTGTATTAAGAACTACATCTGACCTGTTTCTATTGGCACATGTGCATTCCGGATGGATCGTCTTGAGAATATCTCTCGATTATAAGTATTTGGTATGTTTGGACCATGGTCAGGAGTGTAAGTAAGGACGTACATCCAATCCTACTTGAGATTTATCATTCGGTTGTACCTGTATCCTAGTGAATCAGTCAACAACCAGACTCGCTATTCACTCAGGATGCATGTAAACCAACAAAGGTTGGTCAATTACAGTCCTCATTATCAACATCAACAAAACGCAAAATAAGAAAAAGAGAATTCAGCGAAGAAAATTTTCTTTTCGACGAAATCATTTACTTAAGCTGTACATTCGTATATATAGTTATATGGAAAATGTATGTCTATAGAAGGATAGAAAGGATTGTATCACGAAAAATGGATTCGACAATAAATAAAAAATGAGGTTAACGTACTAATCAAGGGGTAAGGAAGAACAAAATTTAAGGGTCAGATAATAGTCCAATTGACAGATTGACAGATATGAAGAAAAACGACAAAACAACAAAGGTCATAATAATAAACTGAATGATAATCAAGAAAACTTGTAAAAGGTAATAATAATAAATGATTAAAGTTTAAAGTGCAAAATAGTAATTTAAAAATATGGATAATAATAAAAGTACATTAGAAAAAAAGAACACCTAGCAACATACCCATTAGGGCCAAGGAAGGATAAGAGGTTGGACAAATCGTTTCTGCACACAAAGTTCAGGCTTTAGTTTGTGGATTGTCAATGCCTCTGCGGTGCATAAAATATTGATTCGAACCCCCTTCGATCCAGTTCCTTTGACTCTGTAAACTATTTTAAACGAAGAGTCTTTTGGAGCGATATGTCCACAGTTGATTAAGTGCTTCTGTATAGAACTCGTGATTGTTTTTCGCTCCCCTTTCAAAAGCCAAGCCGGATAATGTTCCGAGATGCGTTTGGATAATGATCGCTTTGTGCGGCCTATGTAACGTGCCCCACATGAGCAAGTAAATTTATAGATACACATTGAAGTGGCCCATGATAAAGCATTGACAGTAGAGAAAAAACTCTATTTATGAATATGGAATTTAAGGGAGATACAGCTGCTGAAATCCTAAATAAACGGATTTCGAAATCAATGAATAAAACATTCCACGCAGCTAAACTTCGAATCATCTTCTCTAGCCGACCTACCATTCTGGGGTGCGTAAAGGACAAACTTTCGCTTTGGGCCACTTCAATGTGTATCTATAAATTTACTTGCTCATGTGGGGCACGTTACATAGGCCGCACAAAGCGATCATTATCCAAACGCATCTCGGAACATTATCCGGCTTGGCTTTTGAAAGGGGAGCGAAAAACAATCACGAGTTCTATACAGGAGCACTTAATCAACTGTGGACATATCGCTCCAAAAGACTCTTCGTTTAAAATAGTTTACAGAGTCAAAGGAACTGGATCGAAGGGGGTTCGAATCAATATTTTATGCACCGCAGAGGCATTGACAATCCACAAACTAAAGCCTGAACTTTGTGTGCAGAAACGATTTGTCCAACCTCTTATCCTTCCTTGGCCCTAATGGGTATGTTGCTAGGTGTTCTTTTTTTCTAATGTACTTTTATTATTATCCATATTTTTAAATTACTATTTTGCACTTTAAACTTTAATCATTTATTATTATTACCTTTTACACGTTTTCTTGATTATCATTCAGTTTATTATTATGACCTTTGTTGTTTTGTCGTTTTTCTTCATATCTGTCAATCTGTCAATTGGACTATTATCTGACCCTTAAATTTTGTTCTTCCTTACCCCTTGATTAGTACGTTAACCTCATTTGTTATTTATTGTCGAATCCATTTTTCGTGATACAATCCTTTCTATCCTTCTATAGACATACATTTTCCATATAACTATATATACGAATGTACAGCTTAAGTAAATGATTTCGTCGAAAAGAAAATTTTCTTCGCTGAATTCTCTTTTTCTTATTCAATGACACTATGGGTTATTTTAATTATCTGAAAACGCAAAATCTTGTAAGTAACTCCATGTCTACTAAACAAGTGGCTGCCTGGACTCAGTATGTTTGTGTATGCCGCATTGACTATTCAAGTGGTAGGTAATGCTTTTGAATCCCAATGCGAATAATAACACGTAGATTAGTTACACGTGACCGACTAGTCCCGAATAGAATAAATTGCGGGTCAACTCTATTAATATTGAAGAGATTAAAATCTCATCAATGTTTATAACGGATCTTGTTCACTCAAAAACTTCAGTATTCAAACTCATATTATTTCACCCTTGAGAATCTTGGTTGATTTTAACCAATTGTCAACTCTCTTTTTATTCCTTCTATTTAGACTAACTAAAATGCCTATGTACAACGAAAAAACGGTTGGTTATTATTTCAGACAAGTGGTTGATGGTATCAGATACTTACATGAATATGGAATTATTCACAAAAATTTAAAAGTATGTATGATTCTTTTCTAGGCTACTTAGAGTTTTGCCGCCATACATTCAGAGCGACACAAAATGAATTGATGATCAACGGAAGACTTGAAAGTACTAGATTTGATTTGTGCACGATTTGACCAGACGAGTTCGTGTTTTAGTAAATGGGTGGAAATAGCCAATGCAAGTAGATAATGAGTACGATAAATCCCTTGAACTGTTTCTATATTACAGACATTTAGACTGGTCACCTATCCTTGAAATTAGCATCAATGATTCATAGTCCAATCGACCATACTAGCATATTTTGTAAATCCATCAAGCGGGGATTCTAAAGAATAAGAGCACTGATAACTCATCTTAATCGGGGATTATTTTTAACTTGAAACTAAGGACAAAATATTTACTGTCATTAAGTGTGAAACCACGAAAATTCATCGAATGAACGAAATCGAGGTATTTTTCAATTTCATATGTACTAAACATGTTCGTACTAGTCAAACCTTAACTGTGTTATCATTACTTGGAGATCTGACACAAGAAGTTTCTTCAACTCTGTTAGATTATGAATCAAATATATGATTGAATACCGATTATTGCTTCATTTACCGATAGGATGTGCATTATTTTTGAATTGATCTGATTGAGATGCTAGTACGGAGTAAATAGACAACATCTATCTCAAGGTTTCTTAAGCTTCAGTCCAGTTGCTTTTTTGAGGTCTGCTGAAGGTACAAAACAGGTTAAAGACCATTCGCGGCGACTGACGCTGTAGAACAACATTCCTACCATCTCCAGTAGGTAGTTCCAAGTGGGTTGATAACTTTCAGATCGAAAGATAAGTTGGTTTTCTTCCACAGTATTTCGGGTATCAATTAGTAGCCCTAAAAATAAAAGTTAATGCCTTACATTTAGCTACGACAAATTATTGTTTATCTGACATACAACTCTGTGTAAATTTGTAGCTAGTTTAAATTACATTGGATAAATAGTTGAGTAGTTAATGCCGATTGGTCTCACAAGATAAAGTTGTGGAGAAAACAGATAAAAATGTTTAATAAACCACTGCCTTTTTGGTAAACAGTTTTAAATGTCGATATCCAACGTCGAAAAGATAATCGACTTTCGCTAAATATTCTCAAATCAAACTAACCGATAACTGGTACCATCTCCGAATTTCACTGGTAAGAATTGCCAAAGCTATTGAAAATTCTAGATGTATGAAGTATACGAATATTTCATAAAATATTCTATGAATTTACAAATATTTACGTGTCGACTTGATATACTCTTAAAGTAACATTGGGATGCATGTTACGTGTTACGTATGCCCAACTACCGACTGCCCCAACGAGCCATGTTCTATGGTGTTGGAGTAGGATGAAATTAAGCTAGGGGAAGCCAGGCCAAAACATATCACAAGTCCATGAAGTCACTGACAAGTGGACTGAGCCATGTCGGTAGGTGTAGATTACCTGGTCAGGATCCGCAAGACAATAGTAACCGATGGTTAGAGACCTTGAACGACATGGCTCAAAATCGTTTTTAATGGTGTAAGCAAGTGCATCCGCTCTTTGTGTTCTTCCAAATTCTAATCTTCTGAATTCTTCATGTACCTTTCGTTTTTCTATTTATAAATTTATTTCACTGGATCATATTCCTTGAATAACATCTTCAAACCCTAATGTTTCCGATTACTGCTTATACTTTTACTACCTCTACCACTAGGAAATTTGAATGGACAGTTGCATCTCTATGCTAATATTGTATGGAAACTCAAAATGATGTACGTACGTACGAAGTTCTACGTTGTTACTGACTGAATTAGCCAACGAGTATCTTTATAATCAAACTTTCAAACAATTTCCGAGTTTATTGAGAATTTTCACTGATTCACCTACCAATATATCGACTAAATTAATCTATAAGAAAGTCTAGCTTCAACTGACTCATGGTTTAAACTATTGAAATTACTAAAATCTCCACAAAACCCTTTCTGACCACAAGAAAGTGTCATAGAGGATACTTCAAGAAAATATTCGTAAATTATGTAGTATCAGTCACTTGCATAACCTGTTTTGTCTAATTCAATATTCGGAACGCTTTTGTTTAATGTCAAAATTATTACGCTAACGAGCATTCATATCTGATTTCACACAAAAGCTCAACACCTTAAATAATTCACATTCATAAATTCTTAGGTTTAAAGAACCCTTAATACAGCATAGATAAATATACTGTGACTATCTGTTAAACTAAAATAGTATCTTGTAGCTGTTTGGTTGCATTTCAAAATTCTACAACTGATGGGAATGTATAATATGTAATCAAACGCCAATCATGATATTCAAATTAACCAAATCGGAATTACTACTGGAGATAATCACTATCGGGTCTAGAGCTTTGGATTTGATAGCCTAAAGAATCTTGTGTCTAAGTAACGTAAGAGTTGTGATTTTGTATTGTTTGTGCAAGAAATATTTAGTCCTCAAACGAGACTGTTTATTCTTCCAATTATTTTAGCCTGAAAACATACTGCTCAACACCAGAGACAGTGATGCGATTGTGAAAATCAGTAAGTATGGAATATATGTAGAAATTGACATTAATATTTCGGTCATTCTTTCTGTAATCACCAGTGCATGCTATTTTCCAAATCCAATCGGCAAGTTTGCTTGACTTGGTAAATTTTTGAAAGTCTTAACAAGATGTCGAAACTTTTTCTAATAAAAACGTTGTTTACTTAACTTATTAGTGAAGCACGCAGTCCAGGCCCAGATGTGTGTCCGTTTATCGATGAATAAGCACTAACATGAATGCGGACAAAAAGTTAGTTAGTTTGACGTTACACACACTTTACGGTAGGCTGCGAAGTGGCATTCAGTCGATGTTCTAGTATTTCCACTCACCGTGTGCAGCTATTTCGATTGAAGCAAGTTCTATGGATATCATCCGTGTTTCACACCCTGTTCTACAATCAGTTTAGAGATATCGTACTGGAATAGTTTCATCTTGTCATATCTATTTGAATAAAAGTGAATGACACATCCAGATGTTTATATTACAGCCAAAAGTAATGATTTATTATTTCAAACTTTTAGAATTGATAACTCATTGAAATATATTTAAAAGCTCCATGTTCACAGCAAACATTCCTAAGACTCCTGACTAGATTTATGGGAATTGAGTTTAGTTTCATTTTCGCAGTAATCACTCACATGATACCGAGATGTACTGAAAAATTCATGTAAATCTAGCGGCTTCAAGTCATGTGTAATGACTGACATAATTATTTACACAATAAAATCTGATTCAGAGCAGCTTGTGTATAGTTAAGTAATGAATTCAGACGTCATATATGTGTATCCGCCTAATTTGAATTTGTTCGAATTGAGGACACAAGTGTTAGCAGGTACAGAGCGTTGGTTGGTCGTTTACTTCAAGTTCCCACATCTGAGAAGTACAAACACCTTATCATTGCACTATTCAGCCACTTGATCAAACTTCAATAGTTCGAATTGTCCAGTTTCAATCAATTCACAGTACAATTATTACACCATCAAATGCAATCTATCGACGTCCGACTTCACTAACAACTCGGTTTACTCCGAAAGTCACATATTAACATCAGAGCTTCAAGAGTTCCATCTAGACACCATTCAACATTAGGAATATGTTCACCAAGGTGGTTTGTGAGTAAGTACTTAATTGTGGCATACTTATTTACAGACCGACGTCAGATGACTAGTGCTTCTTGATTTGCCACCTGATTTTTCATTGATTCCAATAACAAACGCATCTCAATTAATCAGTTTTTCACAACATACAACAGTAGATCAAAAATACGGTTGTAATATTTACTAATGTTTCTTGAAAAATCAAACGGACACATCAAGTGATATCATATAAACGAAAAGAGTAAGATTTATCACTTATAGCAGTAAAGTAATTGAAATATCTAGACTTTATATAGAGAGGCGATGTTTGAAGTTGAACGGAAGGCATGATTGCTGCACAGTTCAAACATTCGGCCTCTAGGTAATCAACATAGAACCCTACTGAATAAAAATCAAGAAGTTGAATATTCTAGTTTACTCATTCATTTCAGGTAATTTGACTCAACAAACTATTATTATTCGCGCTTCAACGTAGGTTTTAAATCATCACCTTTGATAGAAAATTTAGTCGGTAAGCCAGAGTTACCTTCGAATACTTAATATTTATAGATTTATTCAATAACAAAATAGAAATACTTTTCATTTTCCATTACTGATCGCTTTTAGAAACTATAGTTCATTTGTCAGTTTCAGCACTATTAGATTATCCGTTCAATGATATCATATAGTTGCTGAGGCTAATTAGTTCACTTTTATGCATAGAGTCAGAATTATTTAAAAGCTTAACTAATGATCACAACGAAAGCAAAAAATGTATTTATAATAAATGCTTTTTAAGTAAAATATAGGCAAATAAAATAACTCTTCATAAGAATTAGATTGTTCATTGTTCAATGCATTTTCATCCCCTTATTTTAATCAATCTATTTATTTCTGTATTTTTCTTTTAGCTGATTACTCTCCTCAATTATTTACAACCTCAGATTTAGATTTAGAAATGGTATGCTTGACGACAACATTTTGTGCACCTGAATTATTATTAAGTAGATGTTATGATAAAGCTATTGATCTATGGGCACTAGGTATACTATTGTATATAATGTGAGTAATGTTTACCAATAAATTCTATGTACAATTGTTTAATATTAATTACACAGTCAAGATGATATTGGATTACCAGGTGCATATTATCCCCTTCAATTGATGAAGTGAGAAAAAAATCCCTTATTCTGACCAGAATCAAGTGGATCACTTCTGAATTAATTGTAAGTAGTTGTAACAATGGGGATCATGCTGTCAGTAATTGAAAAGAGGCACAACTAGCAAATGTAAGCTTAGATGCTAAATTTACTCCCTATTGATTTGGATAACGAACCGATTGGTGTTAGACCACCATTGAAAACCTGAAAGCACTAGAAGACCGTTTCGTCCTATTGTGGTACTCCTCAGCGGTGCGCATCAATGATCCCGCTCGCGGGATTCGGACCCAGGGCCTTTGGTCTCACCCGAACGCTTAACCTCCAGACCACTGAGCCGGCATCCATTGGTATTGTTGTCTAATCTCAACCAACTGCTTACATCAAATCCTTCTGGTACAAAACCACATTATTTAACTCGTAGGCAGTTCTTTCAAGTTTATATATGATATGAACTATTGTTCAACTTTATTAATCAGTTTTTGCAGCTTTACATTTAGATTCAATGATAATTATCCCTATCGGAATTTTCGTTTCACTAATTATTATTCTTATGAAATTTGGTGAAAATCAATAACAGTCAAGATCAGTAGTTCTCAAAGTGTATGTATTTCATAAATTAAAAGATATTCACTTAGCTAATTTACATTATACTTTCTGTACATAAATATTTTAAATGAGTAACATTCTCCTATGGATTACTGTTATAACTCTCGGTTTTACTTCGTCTAATGTTATAACGGCTGGGTTTTGACATTTATACGTATGGGACGTTAATTTACCTTAGACGAATATTTACACTAGATTCCTTCCTAGTGTCTATTCCACAGGACAATCGAATGTTTCATCTGAGGTTTTAAGTAGGAGGACGAAACACTACTGTTATGAATCTGTTCATTTCAACCAATCAATTAGTCATATGTAACGTAGAAGCTAGCACACTTGGTTGAAGTTTCCACATCATATCAGCACAGAGAGATGCCGGAGCAGTTTAGGTAGTATCAATATTTGTGATAGTAGGAAAAGCTGGGTATAAAAGTTACAATTCAAGAAAAAAATATAGATTTATAGAACAAAAGAATTATGGGGCAATTTAGAAAATTATCTGTTAGTTTAATTGAGTAAAGACCAAAAAATGTATCAATCAGGCCATGATACCTGTCTAACAGTTCAAAACATTTGGTATGAACTATAAGAGTAAATCTACACAGACACAACAACGTCTTGGAGATGCTCAGACATTCAATATCGAATAGTGAGTAGATGTTAGGAGGTCGAACTTATCCGGTAAGAAATTATGAGCCTAGATTTCCAATAACTTTTAGAAAAATATCAAACTAACTTACGACATGATAATCAGACAAATAGTGAAATAAAGAGAAATACTTCTTGGGAATGCTTTTCTAGCTGTCCACCTGTACAATAGAATTTTACGTCTACTTTTCACTGTTTCATGATTTAGTAACGGGAGATAAATTTTTGTAGTGTGTTGATTGTTGAGTTATTTCTGAAGCTGCACCAGCCCTCTTCAGGTAGTCTGAATGGAATCAAGTTGTGGATACAAAAATGTTTGAAACTTTCGGGTTTATTTAACCTGATGAGCATATGACGTACCAGTTCATTCTGTTCTTCTTTTCTGTCTTAAGATATAGTTACGAAGACGTAAACCATGACAACGATATTCACTGATTAATTACAGGTGTCTTGAAAACAGTGGTTACCTGTGATGGAACTGTGCGGTATGAAATATTTGGGGTCTATTTTAGACTAAGTTGAAAGAAATATGGGAGTGGTCGGACTGATAATACAGTTTGTTAGATTCTTGAGAAAAAATCGGTAAAAGAACAAATCCAATTCTAGATTAATCAATGATCATTGGTTTAAGACGTTAGGCGTAATACAGCAATCTGACCTATTGGATGCATTTTGAGCGATGTTCTACATTTTTAAATCCTTTCTGAGTGCGATGCACAATTCATTCAAATTCCCCCAACTTCGTACCTAAGTTTCTTTTACAAAAAGAAAACAAATCTTTCTTGGACCTAGATACTTATTCACTAAATACATATAACGACTGTTAAGTAGTTTCTTAAATATACATTGTTTGATTCTAAGAATAAATCCAGTGACTGTATGAACTTTGATAAATATTCATACTTATTAATAGGAAAATACTACAGACTTCTCTAGGTCACTCATTTTAGTTAAGCATTCTTCCTACATTCATCCGCTCTTGGGTTCAAAAGAAATAATAGTGACATCACCTACCTATCTTTCTAAAGTAAATTTGTTCGACAAGTGTGGAGTCCAGGGATCGCACTACTTACCAATCGGATGTATCTGGGTTAATGTTATCAATTTCGGATAATTTAATTCTAAGTTTTTTGACCGTTGATCCATATGTATTATAGAATATTCGGAAAAGTCATAATTAATCTACCTAAATCAATACTCATCTGTAATATATACATATAATCATGAGAAAATTAAAGATATGTCCTTAACATCCTTCTCTACTGTGGCTGTAGATACCACTATAACTAGTTAGAATGAGTCATTTGAATGATTTCGCATTTTTCAAAGTGAGTAGATCAGAAAATTCTGTATAATTCTAGGTTTACGCGTGCTAATGAGGTATGGCAACTTGGATCGATGCATATATGTACCTAGTCCTACGTTGTAGCTGACTGACTGATGCCTAAATGTGTAGTCACTAAATACGTTCCAACATTCGAAATGTTTTGTTAATTAGATGATTTTTTTTCACTACTTATGAGCAGTTTAAAACTTTAATTTCGGTTTCTGGTGTGCTTTTTTTTTAAGGTTATGTGGAGATGATCCTTATAAATCGAAATCTGGTAGTGATTTATATCGTGCTATACTTCACTGTGATATTGAGTTTAAATCTCCTTCATGGAAATCAATTAGTTTGGATGCTCAAGATGTTGTTAAACGTCTTTTAGTGGTGGATCCAAAATTAAGAATCATTACACCACATTTGTTGAGTCATCCATGGTTTATCATGTTAGATGAAAATGAAAAACATTTAGATTCAGTACAGGAGAAACTAGAACATTTTAACAAACAGCGTTCAGAAAAAGTATGTATTCATGAATTAAATAACTTCATTTCGTAGATTGATTCTCTATAATATGTACCATGATGAAATGTTTTGTTGATTGGTTTCATTTACAGTTAAAAGTGAAGTATAATCTAGGTGATAAAACTAAGAACTACTAATGACGACTCGCAGGCTTTTGAAGTTTAATTATATGCCTTACATTCAAGCAGTGTTATGTGAAAGAATAATATTATTCTAAGTTGTTAATTACCAGCTATACAACCACGTGCATTTAAATGAATCTCAATGTATACATGAGAATAAAGTAATGCTTTAAAGTATAAGATATTTGAATTCATGAGCCAGTTGAAGCTAGATAACCATAGAAAACCTGTAACCACTGAACGACCGTTTCGTCCTATCGTGGGACTCCTCAGAAGTGTGCATCCACGATCTCGCCCTGCGGGATTCAAATTCAAAACCTGTCGGCCTTGCGTGCGAACTCTTAAACTCTAGACTACTGAGCCGGCAAACAGTGGTGTTAATGTCTAACTTCAATCAATCCGCGGAATTAAACCACTATCCAACATTGTCTTCAGTAAGTCACTTTCTCACAACTGACCCGGTTGAACTCAACTGGTCACGGCTTCTCACTATAACTCCAGGAAATAACTCTTGGAGACAGTCACTAGTGAGCATATGATGATTATAAACAGAGGGGTTTTGTGGAGACTAATAATTTAATAATTGAATTCATGAGTCGATTGTGAGATAGTAACTCACTGATAACAATGATGTATGCGTCGCCCAATTTCGTGGATTAGTTGAAGTTAGATATTAACACTGTTGGATGCCGGGTCGGTGGTCTTGTGGTTAAGCGCTCTCGTGCAAGACTGATAGGTCCTGTCTTAATCTGGCATGGCGTGATCGTGGATGCACACTACTGAGAAGTCCCACAATAGGAAAAAACGGTCATTCAGTTCTTCCAGGTTTTTCATGGTTGTCTAACTTCAAATGACTCATGAATTCAGTTATTAGATTACTACAATCTCCACAGAACCCTTCTGAGTATAAGATATATTTGATTACTTCCTCTTATTCATAAATTCTTATTTAAATAAATGTATCCTACTGAACACTTGTTTGTTTAAAGCATTTTGGCATAGAATATGAAGAAGACTGGATAACATGTGAATATATGAAGCTACCGCAAAGAAGCACAGAAACAGTTCTACCGAATGTGTATGATGAGGATGTAGAAGCAGAAACAGTAATTGACAAGGTTAGCAAACTAATTGACTGATGCTGTGAGTAAAAACAGTGATAGTAATCAGTTCATATATATACATTTAGACCTTTTTGGTATTTCATGTCATTACTTATTATAGCTTATAGTGAACAAGAACTGGAATGGGTACAATCGAATGTATCCGAAGATAAACTTACAGAATTTGCAAAATAGCAATTGATTGTCTCAAACTTGACTGTTCCTTTTACAAATACCAGTTAATCATCTCACATTTCACTTTTTTTTGCATTTTCATACTAATTGCTTTCCGTTTCCATTTCTGCCTACTCGATCTTCTACTGAAATACATTTTATTCCTGACTATCATTATATACTACTTATGAGGATATAAGTAGCTCACACAACAAGCTTACCATAAAAAAGATTTATTAGATAATCAGCCTTTTCAAGAGTGGAATGTTAAAGTTAAATTCATTTTACCAGAATATATTAGACAATTACAGAAAAAATCTATTAAGTGTAATATTTTGGCATTAGAACCGATTCCAATTTAAATAGACAGTTTTAATGTACTTCACTAATTACAGAGTTAATTATATAGATAAAATATAATTCATTCATCAATGATAATCTGTTAATGATTTGCAGATTTGATCAAAGTATTATATGAGTTTTTCATGTTGTATAAATTAGGACTGTGATGACATCATATTGATCGAAGATACAACAGAGAACGTCCAACCGGTTAGCCAAAACGATATCAGCATTGATTTAAATGAGGCGGTAAGACATAAGTAAACCTAGAAATTCGTTTTATATTTAATAGCTATCATTAGTAAATTGTGTATAATATCTAGACAACATTACTCCATTTAATATTCAAATACTTATTCTATATTAACACAGAGATACTGTATCATGATCACTTAAGACTCGATTAATTGCTATCGCGAATTTGTTGGTATGTCGTTTATACAAATGAACGGAGGGTATGTAATTATTATGTGTAGTTTACGAATTGTTATCACTACTTAACTGTTTTTGGTGTCGTTAATTAATCTGGGATAGATAATGTGATTGCCGAGCTCTTAATGTGCCTAGAGAAGTAGCTAAAAATCAACCTCAAAACAAGGAAGTGGATAGTCTCAGCATATATGAAAGTATCTGGGCAATCACTACAAGCATTTTAAAACCCTTTTAAATCACTGTCGCTTATAAATCACTCCCCTGTTTACAAATGAAAAGACAAAACAGTGGCTGAAAACAAATGCAACGTCAGTTACAGGATAAGTTGTAAAAGCTGTCAATTAAACTGAGAAACTGCTAAAATTCTGAGTCAAGGGAATTCTGAGACTATCAGAGAATTTTTAAATTCATGACACACAGATTGATCTATAATCGAAAGACATATCTAGATAAATCCGACCTGTCAACTGATTCGGAAAAAATTGATCGATAACTTGATCAGAGGTCAACAGAGTACGACGATCAATTTGAATAAAGCGTTCAAAATCACGAGTGAGGTGGCCAGAACAAACTGATTAGACACTTTTAAGTGTTCATCAAAGAACTTCATTTAATGTTACGGCTGAAATTAGTGATTAAGGCGCTTGAAATATAACACTGTTTGTCTTAAGGGATTTCAGACAAAACCAAAGTTCCCCTTGTGATTGAAATGTTAAAAAACTTAACATTACAGTCAGAAAAGCTACATCTGATCAGCTTATCTACAGCATATCTAAACACAATAAAGATGTAAATAAAAATAATGTATTTGTAATATCCCAATAAGTTTTTAAATTTTCTGATGTTTCGTGACTTAGTGCAAGTCACTTCTTCAGAGGATAAATAACCAAAACAAAATTAATCCAACTTTAAATAATACAAAGGGACAAAACAAGAATATTAGGTGCGACCAATCAAAAAACAGGCCTAACCAAGTCAATGTCATATCATTCCGGTTAAAGTGATTTATTTGAGACATGTTTGTTTATTTGTATGTGTATATATACTAAAGGATGAAATAATGTGATGCCTTTTACATCGAAGAATCATTTCGTGAAATCTTGACTCGGGCCAAAGAATATCTTAGGTACACGAAGAAACCACCTAATAATCCCGTAGAACTGGAAAGACTCCAAATTAAATCGTTAATAGCAGTTCATGCAATTTTCAGCAACCATTAAATCGATATTAACATCGAAATAATAGAAAAAGACTATTCCAACTACAAAAAAATGCGATTAGCTGAAGCTTTTCATATATTGTTTAATCTTACTGTCGTAAATAGAAATGAAGGCCTCACTATCCATCCGACATGGACTATCTATCCAAGCAACCATTTCTGATTCTATTCACATTTCATACTACTATCGTACATAAAGGTTAAACTCTATCCTTTCTCACTACAAAGGTCACATTCATTCATCCCTGACCCTGCACAAATACACACACACACACACAAATTTACATGCATGTCACGTATAAATCATCTTGACCGAAATGACTTGTTCAGACCTGTATTTTGATTTTTCGCACCTAATATTCTTGTTTTGTTCCTTTGTATTATTTAAACCTGGATTAATTTATTATTTATTCTCTGAAGAAGTGGCTTACACTAAGTCACGAAACGTCAGAAAATTTAAAAACTTAATTTCTCTACTCATTGGGATGTTACAAATGTGTAGATCACCAACGTAGATTGTCTATGTCGAATGATTGGGGGTCTATTTAATTTAGACGAGAATAATGTGACCAATAAGTCACACAACGCGGTCAGCACCTAGCGTGGATTACCCTTTCGTGGTATGAAGATTCTATGGAGTCTTTGAAGACCGTATAACGAAGGACGTTATTACAGAAATGTATTAACGAAAGTAGAGATACAGGAGAAGTTGCAAACACCACCGCATGGACCAGTTCATGGTGTGCAACTAATTGATGCGCATTGGTTGTCCTTGACCTTGACAGGGATCGATGAACTGTTCGACATCTAGTGACCCAAATGCAGGATGATATGGCTAGAGTTCGGTGACATTTCACTGGCCCTACAAATTTATAATTTTGTTAATGATACCTACAAAAAGTAATGATGTGTTTAGAATAACTAAAGTATTTAGTATTGTAGATATATGTTACTATAGTCTCTTCCCAACCAGAATACATGGATTTGTGTTCTTCATTAATTATCTATTACTGAACCGCCATGTGACATCAGATAAACAAATCATATTTACTAATTTCAACAACCTTGTCGATCAAGTACAGTCATTTTCAAGGTGTAGAAAATAAAGTCGTCCAGGTATATGTATCATCTTTTATTCTTTTCACTTGTATAAAATAATAATTTCTCTAAAAATGATATTCTATTTTCATTTTATAGAATGAATTAATTGATACAACTTCTGATCAATTCATAGCAAGTTCATTGAAGAATTTACTTCATGAATATCATTTATTGAATGATCAAAATTCAATATTAAATGAACAAGATCTACATGTTAGTTTATATTGAATCATTGTTAATTAATCAATAATTTGAATGATTCCATATGATATATAAACTTTTTAAGGACTTTTCACCTAGGAATTTAAGAACTTATAATATATTAAATAAAGGTTTTCAAATAACTACAATATATTCAATCAATATCAGAAGGGAGTTTGTGGAGATTTTAGTAATTTCAATAGTTGAGATCATGAGTCAATTGAAGCTAAACAATCATGGACGACCTGGAAGAACTGAACGATCTTTTCGTCCTATTGTGGGACTTCTCAGCAGTGTGCATCCACGATCACGCCATGCCAGATTAAGACAGGACCTATCGGTCTTGCACGAGAGCGCTGAACCACAAGACCACCGAGCCGGCATCCAACGGTATTAATGTCTAACTTCAACTAATCCACAAAATTGAGCGACACATCCATCACTGTCATCAGTGAGTTACAATGTCACAACTGACCCGGTTGAACTCCACTGGTCACTTCTCACTAGAACTCTAGGATATACATCTTGAAGCCTGTCACTAGTGAGCATATCTTGAATAGTATCTGAAGGGGTTTTCTGGAGACTGTAGTAATTTAAATAGTTGAGATCATGAGTCAATTGAAGCTAGACCACCATGAAAAACCTGGAAGCACAGGACGGCCGTTTCGTCTTTAAATTGAATCATGATCTCAATAATCTCAATATCTTAGACAACTGATACACATTTGGTATTTCATGATTCTGAAGGTGAACTAGTGAAATTTCTTCATAAACTTAGTGTAATCCAATTTTCCGATAAACTAATCATTTTTAAACATTTAAGCAGAACGTGAATACGAGATAATTTAATCTAATTATCAGAAAATAGATTGGATTAAAACATGTTCCGTGAAGGATTGTGATGAGGCATACCGATTGGTTATTTCCTAACCAGAGAAAACTTGAAAATCTTTCTATGTTAGGATTATAAATATACTAACATCTTTCCTATTGCGATTCCTACATTCCTGTTCAACCGTGTTCTGATTTGGGGACTTTTTGAATGAAGTAGTGTCCGAGATTATTTAGTAATATGAGTAGTTGTGTCGTAATAAGAGAAATTATAACACTTTGGTATTGATGTAAATGTAGAGGGTCTATATTTTTCATATATTTTACATCACGGACTGACCTTAATTAGCCATATAATCAAAACCAGTAAGCACAGGACAACTGTTTCGTTCTATCATGGGACCTTTCGAACCCAGGATTTTCAGGTTTCGTTGCAAGCTTTTCGTGATATTGCTCGACCATCATTTGTTGCTGTCGATGGGTAACTGCCTGAAATCAAAAATGATTCAGCTCAACTGGTCACAGCTTCTCGTTAGAAATTCGCGGACAACTCCTAGTCAGCATATGATTTTCATCAGTTCATGAGGTTGGTGGAAACTGTTGGAGATATATATTATCATAGAATGACATGATTCGGAGAATTAAGGCGAATCAAGCTACATTTTTAGGACAGATCTACGGGTGAATTAAATGAATTAGTCTAACATTACGAAATAGACTACCAACTGTTGAATGCAAGAAGAGGAATTCTCAGCGGTGCGCACACATGACATCTTCAAGTATGGATCTCAGGAATGCAACGTATCTAGACTACCTGGATGTAAGTTTTAGTTTATCTAAGGTCAATCTGTGATGAATACTTTTTTAAAGTAAGACTAATCTTTACAAAATCTATCATTGTGTTCAACAGTAACTCACTTTGAGGTGGGTTCCCGAAGTTCTTGGCAGCAATCATGAACGATGGAGTCTCAACAGGTCAAGAGTCAATCAAAGGTTACTAATATCATTGAATGATCATCGCACTTTGTCACAAATTGATTGTAGTTGGAAATGTATACCTTTGGATGCCAAATCAGAAGTCTAGTAAGTCGATGTGAAACCTAAATATCCTGGGTTCGGTATCTGGCTGCTCCGTGGGTATTCATTATTGAGGATTCCTGTAGTAAAACGAGATAATTCTTCAGTCCTCTTTAGATTTCGAAAGTTCCCTCAAACGCATTTAATCTGTGTTGAATATTACCCTCAAATTGAGATTAATCTTTAAACCACTTATTCACCAAATCAGGAACAACCAACCATCATCTTCATTTTTTTACTACTAGTGAAAAATGGTCCGTAAGTAAAAATCATGATACCTGACTGAAGTGAAGTTACAATTCCAGTAGAATTTTATATTTTTGCACTTTTACTGTTTCCATTACTAACACATTTACGCCTGTTACTCCTCATGAAGGAGCATAGGCCGCTCACCAGCATTCTCCATCCAACTCTGTCCTGTGCAAACCTTTCCAGCTCTTTCCAGTTGTTATTCATCTTGTAGCTCTTCTAGAGTTACTGCCGGTCCCAAGCCCGGGTAAAGGATGAGGGTTGGGCATGGGGTTAGCGACTCCATCCCGTGGAAAACTAACTCGTTAAAAAAACGCCACAATACTACTGTTTCCATACTTCTCTTAATAGTAACAACTAACAGAGAATCCGTTTCTTTGAGGTAGAAAACAGAATTGTATGTTATCAAAAATACTGTCGTCTATGAAGAATAATTGAATGTATCAATCAAATTCATTGAATTTCGTTAATCGAGCTAAAATTAACTAAACAATTAGAATAAGAGTACTTCATCATTTTCATGCTATTAACTAAACACTATATTTAATCTATGATCTGTTAACTATATATTATTCAGTGATGTCAGTAAATCCAGAACTATTAGAAATTGTTCATTCGATAATACTTTCAGTTAACTTACTGCTCAATAATAAAAATAGGGAAATTTCATTGAGAATATCAAATCCTCTAAAAATACAAACTTATGTTTGTACTGATGATGTTGTTCAGAAGAACAATGAAAACTTCATCATTAACCTATTCAGCTAAGAGTACGAAACCTCATCCAGATGAAAACTTATTATAAGTTCTGGTCAAAGAACCGTATTTGAATTTATCACCATTTATATGTAAAACTTTTTAACGTTTAGTTCATAATACTTATACTGGGTGGAGTTTTACAAAAACTGTATTAGGAAAGAGCAAAACATGTAATTTGGCAGTGTAGTTACACTTGTTAGTTAAAACAGTTAATATATTGATTTTGTAAATTGTATAATTGCATTAAATTATTGAATAATTATGGTGAAATACTCCCTGTTCAATACATTCGAATTTATCCACTGAACAAATAGTTAAAATGATATATACATAATTTTAGATGCCACTGTGAATAGCTGTGAATCTTCATCGACTGAGATGGTTGGGGCACGTGATGCTTAAGCCTGAAAACCGACTAACACAACGCGCAATGCTAACTGGTGTTGGGGATGGTTGGAAGAAAGCTAGGGGCGGCCAAACCAAAACGTGGCATCAGTGCTTGAAGTCACTAACTTCTGGTCTGAGCCGTGTTGGTAGATGCAGACTACTTGGTTGCGGTCCGCGTGACTATCGAAACCAATGGTTGGAGACTCTTGGTGACATGGCTCAGAATCCATCACAATCGCGTATGTGTATACACTCTCTGTCTTCTCTTAAACTACGAGATTAAAATCACTTCATATCTTTCTTTCTATGAACTAATTCTTTCTTCATGTACTATGTCCTTATATGCAATCTTTCTTTTATATATTGCCACCACTGAATTAACTACTTCTATGAATCCGGTGTACATCTTGTTGTGCTAATGAGGTATGACAACTTGGACCGATGCGCATATGTGCCTGGTCATACGTTGTAGCTGACTGACTGACTGAAATCCTTATCTTTAGAGGTTCAAACTATATTAGTACTGTTTCGCTGAACATGCGGAAAATAGTAAGTTTTCCGCAAAATCATAACAAATAGTCATATCAATATAGCAGTATCGATATTTTTATTAGGAGTTATTACATGATTGAACATGTTAGATGAATCATAGCGAAATTGAATCTGATTTCAAAATTACGAATACTCCACTAATTGTAAATATCCATAATCAGCATAGAAGAAAGAATGCATTATAAAAAGAATTTAGTGTCTACAATATTACTTACTTACGCCTGTTACTCCCCGAGGAGGAGCATAGACCACCCACCAGCACTCTCCATTCAACACTGACCTGGACAATCCTTTCCAGTTACTATTCATCCTTTTCATATCCGCTCCAACTTCCCGACGTGGTGTGTTCTTCAGCCTTACTCTTTACCGCTTTCCTTCAGGATTCCAAGTTAGGGTTTGCCTTGTGATGCAATTTGGCGATTTTCTTAATGTACGTCCTATCCACTTTTAACATCTTTTCCTAATTTCGTCTTCATTTAGAAGCTGATCTGGACCACAATATGCTGTGTATGAATTTAAATCACAAAAATATCAAACAATTGATATCTTTGAAAATCACAATCATATGTCAAAAGTCTTAAATGAAGGCTTTTGAATTGTTAATAAGAACAAAAATGTTCTCACAGTTAGGTTCTATATTAAATCGCCATGGAACCGAGAGAATTTCAGTCTTTGCATTTAAAATTTAATGACTGAATAATGAAGACCTATGAATCAATGCTAAATCACTCCTTTCAACAGTGTAGTGAATGATGGAGTTTGTATTCTAGATAAATACATTGAATTTAGTCAATACTACCGTAATAATGGTTACCGACTATCTCACAATAAAAATTCGGTTTATAAGCAAAGATGGATAGTGACTAACAGTGGTATCCAGCACGCGCGTCCCGTCCTACTCAGGACACGTCAGCTGGATGTATTTGCATCTCAGAGTTGACATTCACTTTGATACTCAATCCCAATACCTTTCGCTTCAACCACCATTGAGTTTTCGACTTAGCTACTGTGTTCTGATCAGTTGCAGTCTTAAACATCAGTAGGAACATTCAAGTAAACAATAACAAGTGATCGAGATCATGAACCAATCGATGTTAGACCACCATTGATAACCTGGAAGCACTGGACGGCTGTTTCGTCCTATTGCGGGACTCCTCAGCAGCGCTCATCCACGATGCGCGCGCGGGATTCCAGCCCAGGGCGTTCAGTCTTGCGCTCGAACTCTTAACCTACTGGACCACTGAGCCGGCATCCAATGGTATTAATGTCTAACCTCAACCGATTCACGAAACTGCGCGACCATCTTCCACTGTACTTAGGTAGATACCTATCTCTACCCGACACGGATTACCTCCACTGGTCAGGGCTCTGGGTCAGAATCCCGCGTGCGGGATGGTAGGACGAAACGGCCATCCAGTGCCTCCAGATTATCATTGATGGTCTAACATCAATCGGTTCGTGATCTCAATGAAAAAATTAATAATCTCCATAACCCCTATACTGATAAGTACCAAGTGAATTTAAAAATTTAGTTTGTTGTTTTTTAGTCCACAAATCATCAAATCCCATATGTATTTTATTCTAATCTTCATTTACTTTCAATACTGTTAAACAAAGGTGTTCACAACCTTTTCTTTTATTTAATTGTCTAATACTGAAGAATAAACAGAGTGTGTTATAAAAATGTTTTAGGGAACAAATCAAGAAAATCAAGTATTAAATAGTGAAAATGAACCATTTGATGTTACTATGATGAACAGTAATGACAATGAGCATATGTAAAGGTCAGTGGAACTAAAGAACACATTAAAAATTTAATGGTTAATAATAATCATAACTTTACTTTATGGTTTATTTATTACTACGAATATTTTTTCAATTTAATAACAACAGAATCCAATGTCTCAATACAATATTTACTCAACTATGCTCATAGAGACAAGGGAAATGTTGTGACCTTTTAATTCGGTAATTTATCACATGATTTGTTCGCCAATCGAATTATGACTTATCCAATCTTAGTACTGCGCCAAAACCAATGACGTCCGACTGGTATGAGCAGCCTAGCGTCCCGGATAGTCCAGCAGCAACATCTCTGACTGTGAAGGTGGGTGACACGGGATCGAATCTGTCAGGGAGCCCCAGTTCCCTCAAGATTACAGGTACACTTTGCTGACGAGTGCCAAGTAGCACGAAACCCGGGTCTAGGGTTTCCTGTTGACTACCTCCAACCACCATCTAATTCATGAAAAAAAACTATAGTTTGATGTTCAGTTTGGAAATTTAAATTAGAGTTAAATAAACTAATTAGTCTGTCACTGAAAGTTCTGTTTCTGAAATATTTATGTTCATATTTACTTTGTATTGCTTACTTGAATCTTCTTATTGGCATATGTGCATACTGTGCAGATTGCCTCGATATTGCCTTAATTCCATCTTTCCTTATAATATTTATATTTATGTCTGGGTATTTATTAATTAACTGAATCAATTAAATCCGTTAATATTCAGTTATGACAAGAGATATTCATTACGTAATTTTAATATTCATGATGAACTGGACGTATTGAACTAGTAGATTAGTAGATTCTCAGTGAATAAACAAAATTAAAATCTGTTTTCTAGCTCAGGTACTTTTTTTACAAATATGTACAATTGTAGAGTTTGATTTACAGAGTTGTACCTCACTTTAGTATGAAGAAAAATTTATAATTATAAATGAACACTTAGATAAATATATGTTTATATGCACAAAATCACCAAATAATAGATATTTGGATGTGCACTGCTGAGGAGTCCCATATTGGGACGAAACTGCCGTGCAGTACTTCTATGTTTTCCTGGGTGTTCTAGCTTCAATCGATTCATGATGCCAACTATGAAAAGAAATCATTGATTGGCAATTAGTCAGTATTATAAATAGATGTATTTTTGTTGTTGTTGTTTTTCTTTGTTCATCATTTAAAGGTGTTTACTAGTTATAAAAAAATTACTATTTGTGTTTAAGTTATGACAAACTGTTTTGTAAAGTGCTCATAGATTCATTGCGCAAGCAAAAATTACACTCAGTTTATACTTGGGTGTTTACTAATCAGTAGTAGTTGAAATAACAAACATTTTCATAGTTCATGCTTAGTTGATGGCATAACAAACATTGATATGATATTTATATCATTCAGATATGAAAAATTATTTCTGTATACATGATGCTGTGTCGACTGACTGCTTAAACATGTTTATCATGTTCTGTGATATTTTTATTTTGTTGGTCGAAATAGTTGACTGTATATCAAACAATTTCAATAAAATAATTCATTATTATGTGTGAATGTTTGCAAAGATTGATATCAATTGGATGCTCACTGAAAGATGCAGTGTTTTAAAGTAGTTTTTATTAGTTGAACATTGATAAATCTTCTGACTGAAAGCTTGAATCGGTTTCCTAAGTTCCTCTAATAACCCCAGACTGAAACTACACGACAACTTGAACACGAAAGAAGAGGCGGGAAATCTGAAAAGAATTCTTTACTTCAAGGTTAGTTTATGTAAAAAACACTGAGAGCAGTTCTAGCATTTCGGATGACCTTGGGCTCGTGGAACGTTCTGGAACTCTACTAAACATAGTAGCAGGGTAGGCAATCATCCAGTCAGAAACGTGCCCCGTCACTCTTGACTTTCTAAGTGTTTCTGAGACACTTCTATTCAATGCTGATTGGATAAAATGTTCCTTGGTATTTCCAGAGCCCCTTCGGGCTTTTTTGAGAAATATTCTGGTTCTTCACAACAGATAAGTATTATTAACCCATCTGTTTGAAACAGTGCACATATGTACCAGCTTTTAAGTTACATATGGAAGGCTGATTAATTAACTGAAGAGAAAATGTATGGCATCTATATTTGTGGAAGCATTTGATTTCATTTCGCTTATGATTTTATAACTTAACAATGTTATAAGTAAAATCAACCTTACATAGTATTTTTTAGTTGGATTTTTAATGTATTTAATGTGTAGAGACTATACTCTTTTGTTTTCACTATTATTGTTTTCCAGGATCACTTATGATGTGAATAAATGTAATCATCTTATTGTATGACTTAGATTTCTCGAATAACTTCAAACTTTCTACACTATTTTACATTTATTTTCAATGATCAAGTAGATTCTTAAGAAGAGGATATATTATAAATGTAGTTTACTCAATGAACGAGAAATTTGTTTTAACTTTGTTATAACATATTGTTGTATGTTGTGAAAAACTGATTAATTGAGATGCGTTTGTTATTGGAATCAATGAAAAATCAAGTGGCGAATCATGAATCACTAGTCATCTGACGTCAGTCTGTAAATAAGTATGCCAGAATTAAGTGAACATATTCCTAATGTTGAATGGTGTCTAGATGGAACTCTTGAAGCTCTGATGTTAATATGTGACTTTCGGAGTAAACCGAGTTGTTAGTGAAGTCGGACGCCAATAGACTGCATTTGATGTTGTAGTTGTAACACCTTAGGTTGGTTGGTTAGGAGTCAACCTCAAACAACTAAGCATATGCCAAAACAGTATAGTTCAAGTATTTATTCACTTTCTTATTTTGTACAAGCGTTATGTTTCCTATTATCTTGTATTGAATGTTGAGAGGCTTTGTTTGTCTAAATAAGTAACACCACACTCCACTGTGACTGTGCAAAGATCGAAATAAAGACTTATTCACTACTTGTCTGGTTTCTTCTATCAATAGCAAGAAGGTTACCTAGAGGCACGAAACTGGTGAGCCCGACTTGATAGTCATTGTACTACGAATTGATTGAAACTGGACAATTCGAACCATTGAAGTTTGATCAAGTGGCTGAATAGTGCAATGATAAGGTGTTTGTACTTTCGAGCCTTAAAGTAACCCTCGTGCTATTGATAGAAGAAACCAGACAAGTAGTGAATAGGTCTTTATTTCGATCTTAGCGCGGTCACAGTGGAGCATGGGATTATCTGTTCAGACAAACAAAGGCTCTCAACATTCAATATAAGATAATAGGGAATATAACGCTTATGCAAAATAAGGAAGTGAATGAATACTTGAACAATACTGTTTTGGCATATACTTGGTTGTTTGGGGTCAACTCTTAACCAACCAACCTAAGCTGTTACATTAGCTTCCCCCTAGAATCGACTTCCGTAGGAACGTCGGTTCGATTAACCTAACTATCGAAAAGGCCTTAGTTCTATTTCTCATCCCAAGGGAAAATTATCAACTCGCTCACTGTTTGACTTACAATCAGTGACGACTGACGCTGTCAACAATAGTCCATGGATGTCTCTTCTTTACTAGTGACAAATCCTCCAGATTATGGGTTTCTATTGAGTCTGACATGAGGTATGCGACAAATATAGCAATAAAGTTAGCACACAAAGTGGTTACTATAACACGAATAACTTAAAATAATACGGAATAAACTAGTTATATACTCAACTTAGTTTACGGATAATCAGGTCTACTTTTACGTTTAAGTAAAAAAAAATGTTAATAACAGATATGAGGTTAAATTTGTGTTCAAAAAGGGCTCACCAATTTCGTGCCTTAAAGTAACCCTCGTGCTATTGATAGAAGAAACCAGACAAGTAGTGAATAGGTCTTTATTTCGATCTTAGCGCGGTCACAGTGGAGCATGGGATTATCTGTTCAGACAAACAAAGGCTCTCAACATTCAATATAAGATAATAGGGAATATAACGCTTATGCAAAATAAGGAAGTGAATGAATACTTGAACAATACTGTTTTGGCATATACTTGGTTGTTTGGGGTCAACTCTTAACCAACCAACCTAAGCTGTTACAGTACTTCTCAAATGTGGGAACTTGAAGTAAACGACCAACCAACGCTCTGTACCTGCTAACACTTGTGTCCTCAATTCGAACAAATTCAAATTAGGCGGATACACATATATGACGTCTGAATTCATTACTTAACTATACACAAGCTGCTCTGAATCAGATTTTATTGTGTAAATAATTATGTCAGTCATTACACATGGCTTGAAGCCGCTAGATTTACATGAATTTTTCAGTACATCTCGGAATGCTATTCAGTCAGTCAGTCAGTCAGTAACAACGTAGAACTTCGTACGTACGTACATCAGTTCGAGTTGCCACACCACATTAGCACAGAGATGCACTTGTCGTTTCAAATCCCGTAGTGATAGAGGTAATAAGAGTATAAGTAGTAATCGGGAAGATTAGGGTTTGGAGATGTTATTTAAGGAGTATTATACAGTGAAAGAAATTTGGAAAGATGAAAAAAGGGACATGAAGAATTCAGAAGATTAGAGTTTGGGAGAACACAGAGAGTGGATGCACCTGCGCCATTGCAAACGATTTTGAGCCATGTCATTCAGGGTCTCTAACCAAGGGTTGCTATCATCTCGCGGTCCCCAACCAGGTAGTCTACACCTACCAACATGACTCAGTCCACTTGTCAGTGACTTCATGGACTTGTGACATGTTTTGGTCTGGCCGCCCCTAGCTTTCTGCCAACCTACTCCTATACCACTGAACATCGCACGTCGAGGCAGTCGGTGGTTGGGCATACGTAACACGTGTCCCAGCCATCTCAACTGATGAAGTTTCACTACTTCATCAATTGATTTGCCATCCTTACCTAGTACCCGTTTCCTAACAACTGTGTTACTTACTTGATGGTCCCATGATATACGAGCAATGTTTCGAAGACACCTATGATCAAATACTAGTAGCCTACGGATATCCTCTACTCTTACCGGCCATGTTTCACT